TTCTCAACTTCTCTTGCGCGCTTATCCAGTAGCTCTGTTAGGTCCTGTTCTCGTTGTCCGGTACAGTCCGAAACTTGGACGATGGCATCACCACGATCCAGCTCAAACTCATCACCTGGCTCAAGGTCCCCAGCCTCTTGCCCGCCAACAGAAGCGGTTCATATGCGATGACTAGTACTAATTAGAACCCCTCCCAAATGGTCAATCGGCTTTTTGTAACTTACCAGTCCAGGTCCCTCAAACTTTTTGGCCGCCTCAGGGGTCAAACCTCCGAGAAGATTGCTTCGCATTTTGCTCTATCGGCCCAGGGGGGGAGTAGGCAAAGGGAGTATATAAAATGAACGATGGCGAAGTCAAGAAGTTCCAGGAGTTTGTGGAAGGGGTATTGGGGAAGCAGAGGCTATAATCTGACAGGGTCCCAAAACCGTGTATGATACCAGTGTGCGAGGAGTACTAAACGCTGTTCGTGGAGTTGATCGTGGCATTGCTAGACTGGATGTATGGGTCGTGCGTGCTACCTGTGTAGGTGCAGTGCGTGAGGGCGTAGTCAGATCTAAGTTATCTGTTGTCAATCCAGATGGAGTTGATCGTGGCATTGCTGGACTGGATGTGTGACTGGATGTGTGAGTCGTGCGTGCTGCCTTTTTCGATGCAAGTCATGAAGGCGTAGTCAGATCTAGGTCGTCTACTCCATCATTAGTTTTCGTCATCGCCTAAAGGCATCTGCCTTTTCTTCGCTGAAGTTGAACTGGATCCTTGTCTCAAGACCCGGGGCTGCTTGAGCGGAAGCAGCGTGCCAGGAGGTTTTGTTTCAGGTAAAGTCGCCCGAAGCAGTGAGGTGATGATGATGATGATGATGATGGAGAGAAGCAGTGCTAGGTGCAAGGGGCTGAATGAGAATCACCCAACGTATCCGCCTCAGGGCAGTGACTCCCGAAAACAACATTGCACGCTTTCTCTGTGAAGGAAGGCATGATCGTAGTCAGCCACCGGACATCGAGCCTGACAAATACGGAACGGCATTTGCTAAACTGTTGATCAAATTAAATATCTTCTATAAAGCCAATTTAGTCTTTTTGTTATTAGAACGCATGAAATTAGAACACTACCATTTTTCCACACGGCCTTGAAGCTTACCTAGCCACGAAAGGCGATCGAAAGGGGAAATGTATAATGGAGAAAGCACAGCTGAGATACACTTGGGCTGATCGAAAGGGGCAACAACAGATGGCTTTAATTTTCATTTGATGTATGCCTGTCCGGTGGATTGACCATAAAAGATCTTGGGTCGCGTATGAGTTTACATGAGACTCGGGCCGTAGGACTGAAGTTGTTAATTGTCTTAAACATGAGGCCTTTGCTAATCCGCGACCACCAAGCCAAAATTGTCATCTGGACAGCACAATGCTTATCGAAGAAGCCAGAGGTCAGTTGCAGTGCTGGATATCCGTACCACAACGTGACAGAGTTCTAAAAGGTTACGGAGCTTGACTTTTGCTGAAGGTGTCGATTTTTTATTATGAGAAGACGATGCTACTGGTATGCCATCCTGGCCCCTTCCCATATGCGCATCCAAAGACAAAGTAGAATGGTATAACCATCACTTATCCAACTACAACTAAGGATTCGGTAAAGTCCCGTGGAAAAGGGAAACTCAAAGGACATTTTTATTCATTAATCAATTCTGGAAGTATTTCACTGCAAGGGGAATGAGATGTTTCGGAGTCTTCAGTGTCTGGGTTGCGCCTACCCAAAACGGTGCTCCTTCCTCGCAGCTTCATCGTCTGGTACCGTACCTCACAGCGCCTTCCTTTATTCCATTTGCCAAGCAAAATTTCCCGGACCTCGCAATTCAGGAGAAGGAAGGAGCGTCAGGACACCCAGAAATGGGAATTTCTAGAAAGGTAGTAGGCATGGCAGTTAGATAGTGAATTTACATATGAGTTCCCAGACACCGTACGCACTATTGACAGTTTTTTTTTTTTTAAAAAAAATAACACCATGGCTACTCCCATCGTCTCGCTGTCTGAAGAAGATGCATCCTGGATGCCATGGGACCCAAATGTCCCGACCGTCTGGCCCGAAGTCGCCGCTCCCTCGCCGCCCCAGCCCGTACCAAGCCCTCCTGCTCCTATCGAGGAGGAGCCAGAGATCGAACTTTCCTGTTAGTGACAATCAACAAGCTTAACTTTAGACTTAAGCTAATTCATGATATAGGGCAGGAACTACGAGCCATGGAAGACGAACGGGTGCCGAGGGTAGCGGCGGCTGCCAGAGAGAACTACCTGGCGGCGGCCTACGCACACCTCCCCTATTCTGAGAAGGACTGGGGGCTGGACGGTCGGTTGAGGTGTCGTGTTGTTGGATTGCCGTGTTACGGCAAAGAGCATAGGACATACGACTTCTTGAAGAAGCACCTGCTCGCTGGAGCACATGTCGTAAGTCTTATATGGCACCCTTCCTTCACAGTATCATCCCTCAATGGATCGCGTTTAATGTGTATTGGATATTTAATGACAATTACCACTTATATAGAAGCATGAAGCTGAAGCACGTCGTGCGGCCGAGTCCCGTCCATTGCTCTCCTCTCGGCCAAGCCCATCTCAGAGTTCAGACTCTTTCAATCCCTCTTCGGATGTGGATATGACAGAGCTGTTTGACGAGATGGAAGCAACTGGAGGCTTCAATGAAGCTCCTATTGCTGTTGCTGCCGAGGATCAGCCAAGCCCAACTCAATCGGAACTGTTGGCGTTCGTTGACGAGTTGGAAGCAGATGGAGCCTTCATTGAAGATCCTGATGCTGTAGCTGCTGGTCCTGGGATTCCTTTTCAGGAAACTCCAAACTTGGAGGTCCCGGACTCGGTTGAGAGTCAGCCAAGCCCGATGCAGCCACAGACTCCTGCCACTCGCCCGAGCTGGTTAGCGACGTATGTTGCTGTATTGGAAGCAGAAGAATCCCACGAGGAAGCACAAGACTTCCTCGGGGAGGATTCTACTGCTGTAGCTGCTGAGTCATCGTCGCTTTCTCCAGAGAGAAAGCGGCGATGCCCTTGGACGAGGAACTAGTTACAGGCGCAGATATTAAGGCTCGATCGTGAGTCGACTTATTCTTCGCTTTCAGAAGCCGATCAACATGTTTCGCGACGGATTCTCTGGCTGCTATTTGTCACTGAGAGGTATGAATCTTCATCCAAAAAGATATCCTGCTAATGCGTATCGCTCAGAGGTGTTGCTCTCTTACACAAGCTTCCCATAGTCCTTAAGCCAAACATCTTGTTCCCGTGGTTCGGAGGAGCTGATGACCGTGCTGAAGTTTTACCGGCATTTTTAAAATTAGTCCATCTGTTCTGGGTTTTTGATCAGTCCAACATCTTTGAGATACTTCACAACATCGACGCAGACTCGGATATCCCCAACATGGCCTCCGTGGCTCAAAATTGCTTGGAGCTCCTGCAGCAAAAACTTCTCGACTCAGCCGACAATGACGATTGGGGCCCGATAAATGAAGTCCAGCGAGCAGACATGTTTGTCACAAGACAGTGGATGCGTGCTGTGTTATGGCGAGCGGCTCTTCGATTTGGGATTGTCATACCGTCTATGAACCCCATGAATATCGCCAAAGACTTCTTGAGCCTCGTTTCCCAGCTTCCAAAGGCTGCTCTCGAGTCTCATGGACCGACACTAGTGAGTGTAATCGTGTATCGATGTAACAAGATGCAAACTTACAATCGGGCTAGGAATTCAAGACATTTGAGATTGCTACGGCTGTGATTGATGCAATCGCCAGCGATGTCTCGATACAAAGAGATCAATCTGGCCCAATACTTCACCAACTACGTGACATACTTTCGTCATGTCGGGGAGGCAATCGCACTTTACTCTCACTTCTTACTATACGAATGGATGCAATCTTTAATTCGGCCCATATGCTGGAAGCAGCCGAAGGCGATTCAGCGACATATGAGACAAATCTCCCATCAACTTTTCAAGACACCGCTGAGCTTTTGACAGCCCAACCGAACCTCACAATGCCCACATACCAATTCATGGAAGGTCAAGCTTCTCAAATTTGCTGGCCACCTCTGGACCTCGGTTACCTGGTTCGATCGCCGTCGCCGCTTACTCGTATGCTATTGGAGTCGATGCCCCGCAACGTTGATGAGCAGGACGAGGCCCGCCAGATAATTGAGACATCAACCTAAGTTTAGGGTATCCTTAGGCAAAATTAGGCCTAAATTTTACCCTAAAGTTGAAGATTCTTCCATCTCGGGCTCATGACGCAACGAGGGCTCCGTATTGCGCCATTGTCCCCTTGTTAAGCTACTGCAATTCCCCGCTGCAAGACACCTGCAAATCTGCCGATGGGGAAGAACCAGGTGTGACAGCAAGACAGTCGGAATATCCGACTTGATGAAGCTCTTTGACATTCACTGTATGAGTCAAATTTCCAGTACCTCAGATTTGCGACTCTACTCAATTTTCAATAAACAAGTCCATCCCACTTGTTGGTGGCACTGATTCCTAGAACAATCAACAATCCTGTAAGTCATCCCCGCTCCGAATCAATCTCCGAAATATTCTCCGGCTACACGACCCCAATTCACTGACCAAGGTGCATAGGTAGAAGAAACACTCACTTCGCGCAAACTTCCTATCACCATAAATCGCTAAAATGGCTTGGGCAGAACCTAGAAACACTGGCATGATCTACCGTCGTCTCGGTAGATCCGGTTTACATGTCTCTGCGATTGGTCTTGGTAGCTGGATGACCTATGGAGGTTACGCTCAAGATGAAGAGGCATTTGCTTGCATGAAGAAGGCTTACGACCTTGGAATTAATTTCTTCGACACGGCCGAGAACTATACTGCTGGCCAAGCTGAGATTGTCATGGGAAAGGCTATCAAGCACTTTGGGTGGAAGCGCAGCGATCTGGTCATTAGCACAAGTGAGTCCTTAGATGCACCAGTTACTCGAAGCTCTATGCTAATATTTCTTAGAGATCAACTGGGGTGCTGTTAATGGAGAGATTCTCGTCAATAACCATGGACTCTCGAGAAAGCACATTATCGAGGGCCTAGATGCCTCATTGGAGCGTCTTCAGCTCGACTATGTCGACATTGTCTACGCTCATCGGCCAGACAGACTGACTCCTATGGAGGAGACTGTCCGAGCCTTCAACTACCTGATTGACAACGGAAAGGTTTGTATAGTATTTGCCTAGCTTGATTGCACAGCGCTGACGAGACCACTAGGCTTTCTACTGGGGTACATCAGAGTGGTCTGCAGATGAGATTGCCGAAGCAGTAAGTCGCTACCACTTATATATAACGTGCCTGGATTCTCACATCAACAGGTCGGAATTGCTCGTGATCTTAGAATGATTGGACCTATCGCCGAGCAACCCTTTTACAACATCCTTGTCAGAGACAGAGTTGAAGGCCAATTCCAACGCCTATATGAGCGGACTGGCCTAGGCATCACATCGTTCTCCCCCCTGAAGATGGGCGTTCTTAGTGGAAAGTACAACGACATAGTTGACGGCAAGCCCCCCAAAGACTCCCGGTTTGAAGCTAGCAAGGACAACTTCGCCGACTTCATGCGCGGCCGCATTGGTACTGATGACTGGAAGGAGGAGATCGACAAGGTTCGGCAGCTGAAGCCCATTGCTGATAAGCTGGGCATCAGCCAGGCTCAACTTGGTATTGCCTGGTGTCTTAAGAATCCTAATGTTACCAGTGTTATTACCGGTGCGAGCCGGCCTGAGCAGTTGGATGATACTGTTGCCTCGCTGAAGATTCTTGATAAGCTGACACCAGAGATCATGGAGGAGATCGATGCCATTACGAAGAACAAGGTTGAGCTGGATCCTGCTAGACAGAGCTAGAGACTTCTAAATCAAAATTCAAAGAGAAATTTATAACACGACTCTAGAGTATCAGTCATTGAGGTGCTCGAAGTGTAGATGTTAAGGAAATATCAAAATCGGAGAGTACATATAAAACGATAACACGTTGCATCCATGGCTTGGCTCTTGTGATAGTCGTAAGAGCATTGGACCCCGTAGAGATACATGTTCTGCGTCAGACTTTATGGAATATACGTACGCAGTTCGCTCGATTCATTTCTTGCTAGTCCAGCAAGGAAGTGGCAGATTTCATTCATCGTTGGGAAATACTTTATTAATGCCATTGTAGTGAAGAAATCAGTTGTACTTTCACATCCTCAGTCGGCTCGATAGCCATTGGAGTTCATCGCGTGGTCTAGGCATGACCTTGTGTTGAATATACGTATGTACCTGGTGTGATGAGTAGATAGAGTCGATTGGTGCTGAGAGTTGTCAACGAAAGTCTCTCAGTGGTTTTCTGATCAATAACTACGACAAGATCCCATGAACTAGGTACTGAGATCAACTCACCAAGGTTCACTCCTCGGTACCCAACTGCCGTGGACGGCAGATCGCACTTTGTCGAGTTGCCGTTATGAATCATCATACGACTACGGCCCAAGAAAAGTCCGAGCTGCGAGAGCAAGGAGATAGACTCGGACTCGCGCTTTTGGTTTCACTATCAGCGATACAACCCTAACTTGTCTTTCAAGTGGGATCATGAATGAGGTCTATTAACTTATTCTCGTATTTGACAGCCTTTGATTGGTTCGTGTCTTTTGAGTGGGGGCCGTCCGCCCCGAGCCGGAGACCCTCTTACCCGTTACAGTAAAAGCACTAACCGGATATGGTAAAAGTCTCGACCGACGCCAAATGCAAAGTCCGCGATAGCATCATCATCGACAACGGCCCACGACGCGGATCGCAGGAGTTAACGAAATGTCCGGGCAATTAAATGCTTCGAATTCACTCAAGTCTAGTAGTGAAGACTCAGGTATAAAGATGTAGAGACGTCTTCCCTTTGGAGAAGCATATCATCATCACATTCATCAACACACTCAGCAATTGCTACCACTTTTAGTTTCATATACATAAATCTCCCAGGTCTCATCTCCTACAATGTCTCAAGAGTACGCCAAGGACCAGCCTGAGGGCTTTGTCAACAGAATTGAACGAGTTGCCATTATTGGTGTAAGTAACACATTCGTCTATCATCTAGTCATTGACTAACATTTTACAGGCTGGTGGAAGTGTTGGCAAGTACTTGGCCAAGTATCTCATCGCGACAGGCAAGCATACAGTCACTGCTGTCACCCGTAAAGGCAGCACCAGCAAGTTCCCTGAAGGCGCTCACACTGTCACTGTCGACTATGATGATGAGAACTCTATCGTTGAGGCACTTCGAGGCCAACAGTTCCTCGCAATCTCTCTCTCAGTGTCCGCAGCCCCCGGCACCCAAGAGAAGATTATTGCTGCAGCCGCCAAAGCAGGTGTCCCGTGGATCATGCCCAACTGTTACGGCATCGACATCACCAACAAGTCACTCGCCGAGGAGAACCTGACTGGCGGCGGCGTGTTCCCAGGAATCAATGCCGTCGAAGAAAATGGTGTATCTTCATGGATTGCTATGTGCTGTTCCTTCTGGTACGAATTTTCTCTGGCCCAGGGTCCTGAATGGTACGGCTTCGACTTGACTGGCGATAAGAAAAAGGTTACGCTGTACGATGATGGCAACACCCGGATTAATAGCTCAACTTGGGATCAGTGTGGCCGAGCTTTCGCAGCTCTTCTCAGTCTGAAGGTTATTCCAGAGGATGAGAACGAAAAGTCCCCTACCATCTCCCAGTGGCGAAATAAGCCCCTCTACATCTCCAGCTTTCTCATCTCTCAGCGAGAGATGCTCGACAGCTTTCAGCGAATCACTGGCACTACAGACAAGGACTGGGAGATCGAGTATGAAGGTTCCAAGGAGCGCTGGCAGCGAGGCATGGATCTTCTTAAGAAGGGGGATCGTTCTGGCTTTGGACTCGCTATGTATGCTCGAACATTCTATCCCAATGGCGATGGAAACTTTGAAGCCAAATATGGCCTTGCGAATGAGGCTTTGGGTCTACCCAAAGAAGATGTCGATGAGGCCACCAAGAGGGCTTTGAAGATGGTTGAGGACAACTACAATTACTTTGCGAACCGAAACCATTAAGGGCGCGGTGGAACAATAAGAAGGAATTGGCCTTCAATGTATAAGAAGACTTGGTAGACTGGACTGTCCTAAGATAAACAAGCAACATGATCACTCACGCATAGCTGCTCCCAATCTCTGAATGAGTGATAAAAAGGGAGATGCTCTAACAAGCAAAAGAATGGTCCCGCTCGGGCTCGAACCGAGGACCTTCTCGGTGTAAACGAGATGCCATAACCAACTAGGCCACGAGACCAATGGAGATACCTGGAAAGGTGAGATTTGGGTCTAAGTTTGCGGAGTTGTGAGCGGTGAGAGAAAAAGGAGACGCGAATCCTGACGGATCCGCAAAAATGTGGTTCCGCCCGGGATCGAACCGGGGACCTTCTCGGTGTTAACGAGATGCCATAACCAACTAGACCACGGAACCTTGGCTGATGAGATGAGATCTCTGACGAATTGTGTCAGGGGAGGACGTAGGAGTGTCTATACACATGCATGTTGTCCGACTCTAGCGATTGCGAGAGGATCTTAAGAGACTATCAGTTTGTATGATATATAGGGCACACTAAGGTCAAATTCAACCGTGGCATCTTATAATCATTAACTGTTAATATTCATTCCCCAGAATATGTTAAGTTTATTTAAACTTTAGAAGCTTCCCTGTGCCCAGCTATCGTTAAACGTTTCTAAAGCATGTCTTTCTAGAATCGTCAACTTGATGCTCTACAGCCCATGCATACCAAGTAATTACAGATCTGATTTCTATGATTTAGAAACTCTCGAGATATCTCAATTTCTCTTCTGGACAAATTCCAACCAGTCGTACTTGGTATTGTGGTCTAATCCTTGGTTCTGTAATGGCTTTAGGCTATTTCAGACGCTGTTTCTTCCCATACTACATTTAGATTAAATTTATTCACTCTACTATACGCACTCTTTATTATCGACCAATGCTCGCAATCGACGTTTTTGTGTCTTTGTGAACGTGGCTTGGTAATTGGCAGGCTTCGAAAGCTATGGCGTGCACCTCCCGCCTTGGCGGCTCTTGGCGATGCGATTGGGAGCAGAGCCTCAATATCAGAAGTCGAATTTAGATGTTCATTTGATATTAGCTATCTATCAAAACCGTTTAACT